AAAGTGAAATTAAGGAGATGCTCCAGATAACAAGTGCATGCTTTGAATTGAAATATCTTGGGCTGCCTACGCCTGAAGGGAGAATGAAGGCGGAACAGTTTCAACCATTGAGGGAGAGATTAACGAAGAGGCTGAATGACTGGTCCAAGAAATATTTGTCTTCTGGAGGCAAGGAGGTACTAATAAAGAGTGTTGCACGGGCTTTACCAACCTATACCATGGGTATTTTTAAAATGTCGGATCAATTCTGTGATGACTATATGCAACTCGTGCGGAATTTTTGGTGGGGACATGACAAAGAACACCGTAAAGTACACTGGCTAGCGTGGGAGAAAATTATTTGCCCCAAGTCATTCGGTGGGATGGGATTTAGAGACATGAAGTGTTTCAATCAAGCTCTTCTTGCACGCCAAGCATGGAGGCTACTGATCACGCCGGACAGCTTGTGTGCAAGGGTGATGAAAGCTAGGTATTATCCTAACGGAGCTTTATTGGATACAGCCTTTCCTAACGAATCATCCCCTACATGGAAAGGAATCATATATGGGCTGGAGCTTTTGAAGAAAGGTGTTATTTGGCGCGTGGGAAATGGTTAAAGTATTAAAATTTGGAGGCATAGCTGGGTGCCCCATGAGGGGAAGCTTACACAAAGCCGAAAAAGGAATTGGAACCGAACAACCTTCGTGAAGGATCTATGGAATCAAGGTGAAAAAACTTGGAATCAAAGACTAGTCCGGCATCTGATGGAGCCTGAGGATGCTGATGTTGTCCTTAAAATTAAAATACCTCAATGGGAGGTGGAGGATTATCCGGCGTGGCACTTTGAGAAGAACGGGATGTTTACGGTGAAAAGTGCTTACAATCTAGCATGGCAACTCTCAGATTTAAGCAAAAGAGAGCAATCAACTAGCACGGCTCCTGATGGCGAACGGGCGATTTGGAAAGCTTTGTGGAACACAAAAGTCCAACCAAAAGTGAGAGTGTTTGCATGGAGACTAGCCCATGAGTCTCTACCCACAATGATGTGTAAATGGAGAAGAAATTTGGAGACTAACAATGTGTGTCGTTTATGCGGCCGAGGTAGAGAGGATGGTCACCATGCTGTGGTAACCTGTACAAAAGCTAGGGCCTTAAGACTGGAGATGTGTAAGCACTGGGCATTGCCGTTAGAGATGAAACTGGAGTACACTGGGCCGGACTGGCTACTTATTCTACTCAACTCGGTGGATGAACGGATGAAGGCCAATTTACTGCTCATCTTTTGGAGAAGCTGGCACCTGAGAAACGATTCAATTCATAATAAGGGGAAAGCTACCGTTGTTGATTCAGTAGCCTTTCTGAGGAGCTACAATGAAGCTGAAAAATTGGGGCAGTTTCATAGTCATGACATCAAGGGAAAGGGCTCACTGGAGGATATTCGCAGACCAACGGAATTGAAGAGGGAGCCGGAAAATTGGATCCCTCCCCCACAAGGGTGGGCCAAAGTAAACGTGGATGGAGCCTTCATTAAGGAAACTAGAGCAGCTAGTATTGGCATCGTTGTAAGAGATTGCAGGGGACTGTTGCTATACTCGTCACACAAACGACTCTCGGCTTGTAGTTCAGCTGCAGAGGTTGAAGCTGTAGCATGTTTGGAAGGTATTCGGGTTGCTGCAGATAGAATTCAAATGCCGATTATTCTTGAATCGGATAGTGCTGAGGTTATACAAAGTCTTTCATCTTCTATACCATCTCGTGCGTACTGGTATCCGTTGATTCAAGAAGCTAAAAGTGTGTGTAGCAGATTGCTAGAGGTGTTGTGGCATAAAGTGAAGAGAGGAGGAAATAAAGTTGCACATGAGCTTGCTCAAATAGGAATGAGATCTGGACAATATGTGGAGTGGGTTCTTCATGGCCCTTCTGCAATTCTGAATCTCATTAACCAGGAATGTATTACCTTTGATGATATTTAATAAAATCCTCTCTTTACTCTCAAAAAAAATGTGCTAAGTTCAAATTAGTAAATGCTAGGCAATGACCAACCTTCTTACATGAGGCAAGTGTGTGACTGAATTATTAAAATGTTTTTGGAAGTGCGTTTTATATGTCTCATAAAAAATCTAAGTAAATGAAGATCATGCATGGTTGAGTGGAGTTTAATAGAGTTTGAGATTATTTAAGTTTTTTTATGAGGCGATGACGTGGAACAATAATTCATAAAAAATCATTTTTTTAGAAGTATGAATAGAGATGCTTTAAAAAGCAGTGTAAAGGCAACCACTAGAAAAATTGGCGTAGCCAAGGACTCAACAATTTAAAATTATAATATACTCCATGAAATTTAAGAGGTTCTTATTGAAGAAATAATTATATATTTATGATTAAAAAGAAGATCGTTTATAAAAATGTGACTAGTGATTAAAGTAACAATCAAATAGTAACTTATGTTCATTTTTAAACATAAGTTACCATAAAACTACATTGCAGTAACTATTAGTCACATATTTGTGTAAATATGTTTTATTTCAGTAATATTTTTGAGAAAAAAACCCAAATGCATATACTACCTCCGTCCCATTATGGTTGTTCACTTTCAATTTGGCACGATTATTAATAAAGTGGTTGGAAAATAAACGTTGTGGTTGAGATTTGAGTAGAATAAAGTGAATTGATAAGAACCACATATTTTATGCCAAAAAGGGAAACAAGACATTCATTTTGGGATAATCCAAAAAGGAAAGTAGGACAACCAAAATGAGAGAGAGGGAGTATTAGATTTGATGAATGGAAGAACGAGATCATATTAAAATGCGCAACCCACAAGTAAACTGAGACAAGAATGTATTGTTCTATTGGATTTTTATGAAATAATGATAAAATAATATAATAGACTTTCAAATGGACAAAATAAGACCAGTTCTAATTTCGGACAGTACAGAGATTAAAATTAACTGAACAAACTAAAATATCGTTCTCACAAACATCCCTCTCCCCTCAAAGATGAGTTGATCGACCAAGCTTCTATTAACGTCAAAACCTCGAATTTTATCAGTCCTAAACCTGAAACAAAAGTTCAGTATCAATGAGGATTCTGAAAGATACGGAGTATATATTATGTCGATATAGGGGCCGAATGATTAAAATTATCAATTAAAGATCGAAAATATAATATATTTTGATTTATTTACTTTTTTATGTACTCTGATGCTAATTTTTTATGAGTTTTCCTTCACAAAGGTTTATTAGTTAAATCGGATTAAATAAGATTAAATAGCTTATTACGTGATATTTAAAATTTTAAAATAGAACATAAAAAACTCATGATATTTTAGGTCTTAGTTGATGCAGAGTAATTTTCAATCATTCAGATATATGTCATGCAATTTCGATCCTATCACAGTTCACACACGCTCTATTGATGTCTTTTAGTCATATCACATATGTGTCATCATCATCAATACACATTATTCTTTGGAAATTAAACTCCAACTAAAATATGTGTGTTGATGACAATGCTCATCATCATGTAACTCCATAAAAGGAGTCATCATGAGCAGAGTTAGGGGTGGGCCAACCTAGGCCGCTTTGGTCCACCCACAATTTTTTTTAAAAAACTTAATTTTTAAAGTAAAAAATTTTGTGTAAATTTTTTTCAAAAAATATTCTTTGTGTCGATTCAGTGCTCTGATTCTGCCCCTGGAGTCATGCTTAATTTTTTTTGAAAATTTTATCGATGCTGCACTTTAGCGCTATTCGTTTTACTCATTCTAGTCATATAGTCATCCTTAAACTTGTCTTAACTAGAAAATACTAGCATATCAATGTTTGATAATGATTTAATACTTGTATTGTAATATGATTTCAAGATAGCCGATGTAATATGAGAGTACTTTACTCTTATATTGACAAAGTAAAACACCTTATATGTGCCTTTTAATTGGACTACCTCCAATATCACCAGTTCAAAGCGGATCAGACTTAAAAAGATAGATCATATCGGATCAGATCCAACTAGACTCAGACAAACCTGAACATATAAGACTAGATCAAATCAGACTTAATTAAATAATAATAAAATGCACATATATCAAACATTTACTAAACATGCCACTATGCGAGATTAGACTTCAAAATCAGACCACGCTATAAATTTTTGGTATGATTAAAAAGATTCTAAGTCGTATAAATTTATGGTATACTAATTAGTCGTACCCATAACTCACTCGTACGCTTCAATGAGCATAAAGTTTACGGAAATGGTTCTAAATAGGAGTAAACAACTTTGGGAATTTCAAAATAAAGCTATTATGTTTTTCTTTCCGAAATATGAGTCGTTACTATCATAATTGAAAAATACTGTCATAATTGAAAAATAATATCATTAATTATAATAAATACTATCATGTTGAATGCATAATACTGCAACTATTTGACAATCAGGACTAAAAAATATCAGTAAATACAATCATTCTATTCCTATTTCGAATAGAAATACATAAGAGTACTATTTTGAAATTTCAAACTTTACGTAGTCCTATTTTAGGAAATTTGCATAAAGTTTAACAGTTTAACTCTTTTAAAATTTTAGTCCTATACATAAGTCTTTAGAGATCGATAGAGCTTCCCAGCCATTTTCCCTTGAGAACTGGAGTGTTAAAATGTACGGAGTACGAAATGCTAAATTAAACAGGTGGACATTTTCTTAGATGCATCAATAGAAGTTTAAATTTTTACAGCTGTATAGAGCTTCTCCATCCATGATATTTTTTAATACGAGTATAAAATTACTTCAAATGTGAAAATTATACCAAAATATTTTTTGTTAAAATTACTTTAATACAAGTATAAAAGAAATAAATTTCATACATTTTTTACAATTAAAACCATTGTCCAAAGTTTATTACAAAAAGGCAAATTGGTTCAATTTTGAGCGATGGTAGGAGTATTTAAGAAAAGTTTTAAATCTTCGTTGATTAAATTACAGAGAGATATGAATCATTTGTTTAACCTGCCTTTTGCAGCGTTAGAGCTACCATTGAAAGATACAAGAAACACCATTGCGATTCCACAAACTCTGGCTCTATTTCGGAAGCCAACACTCAGGTAACATAAAAGAGAAAAGTCGAATATAAACATATTTTTTATGGAAAAATTGTCAATTTGATCCTGGTAATATCACAAAAAGTAAATTAAGTATGTTTTCTTTTGGACTGAAATTTGCTGGTCTGGTCTAGTCTGGTCTGATCTGGTCTGGTAAACGTCTGGTATCTGTGTATTTTATAACTACGGATGTCTGATCTGGTCTGGTCTGGGATTGAAAACAGTTCAAAAGAAAACATGCTAATTACTCGTACTTTTAAAAAAAATCAATCAAATCCCCGGACTTTGTCATAACGTTCAATTGAGTCCATTAGAAGGTGGTATCTCAACAAGTCACCTGCTGACGTGTCACACATGTGGCAGCCCAGTCAGCAGTGACTTTGTTGACGTGGCGCACATGTGGAAGCCTAGTCAGCCATTTACTAATGACGTGGCGCACACATGAACCGCCACGTGTGCGTCACATCAACAAATAACCTGCTAATTGATTCAATTGAACGTTTTTCAAAGTTTAGGGACATAATTGACTTTTTCGTAATAGTATGAGAACAAAATTGACAATTTTCGTGATTTTTTTAGTTTTTCCAAGTAGTTTCTTAAGTATTACTAATGTGTAATGTATTTACTAAATATGTTTTTAATTGGACTAGTTCCAGTCTCAAATCGGATCAAATCAAATTAGATTTTGACAGTGGTAAAGTACATATAAAATAGACACTCATCTGACTAATTCATTTTAGACCAGATTAGACAAGATTAGAAACTACACACATCCTAAGACCATTAATTTATGACTTATAAGCATTAGTGTTACTCAATGCAATTACCAACAAACAATTTTCTTATTGTTAATATAACATGTAACACGCGTCTCATATTTGTCTAACAAATTATAGAATGAAATTTTCTTTAATGATAAAAATGTAATTAGAATTGTTATGAGTGTAACGTTACTGTAGTTACATAAATGTAGCCATACCAATATTTATATAACCTGTCATTTTGTTGTTGCGCAAAATGGTTGTGAAAAGGGATATGTATAATGGTGATACGTACATAGACTATATAAAAGGTCTAATTTCGATTGTGTTGGAATGCAGTTTTACCAGCAGGAGGCAGCCAAACTGCGGCGCCAAATAAGAGAAATACAAATTTCAAATAAGTACGTACTCCGTACTATACTGCAATACAGTTCAATATTTACCTATCGTTTTAATTAATACGGAGTAATTAAATTGTACTATCAACCTTTATTTATGCTCAGAAAAAAATCTTTAATAATTCATTCATTCATTCATAATTTAATACTCTCTCCATCACATTATTATTTTCATTATTTCCATTTCGGTCTGTCCCAAATTTATCTTCTCTTTCCCTTTTTGACATAGAATTTCTTGTTCACAACACATTTCTCTCTCCTCTGCACAACATTCCACCACACAATTCTCGCTATCTTAATTTGTATGCAAATGTACTTGTGAAGATGAATATGGGACGGGCGCCCGAGGGAGTACTTCTTTCATAATATAGTTCTTTCATTATTTGTACTCGCGGTAGGCAAATTGTTGGAGAGTCTTTGGGAACTTTAAATCAAAAGGAGCTTAAGAATCTCGAAGGAAAAGTTGAGAAAGCCATTGGAAGAGTCCGTTCCAAAAAGGTACTACGTGCTATATACTCTTTTATAATAATATAAAAAATACGTAGTAAAATATATTTTAAATAAAAAATCATAATTCAGCACATGTAACCAATTCATGCGCTTCAGTCATAATTTCAATAATTTCTGTAAATTCAACCGATTCGACCAATTCCAAAGTTATCAAATGAGTTCTAGAATTGATTGAATCTACTTAAATTGGTCAAATTTCGGTTGAATCTGTTGAATTGAAGTGAAAAAATTAATTATATTTTATTTAAAGAATAAACAAAAAGTTATAAGAAAAAGAAAAAATTAGTTAAACTAGCCCTTCTCAGTTAGAAAAATAAGTTAAACTTTACTTATTTTGATTATCACACAATTTAGCACAAACTGAAAATAGAGATTAACAAAGAGATCTAAAGTTTGATATTTCAAATCTATTTAGTAAATCTATTTATTTTGACTGATTTTTATGATTGACAATGGGGGACGTGCTTGGTTCAAGGGTGATGTCACTAATGTGAACACCCAAAATTTTAAAAATAGAATGTAAAAAATATGTACGGATCGATTTGACCTAATTATATTTTATATATTGTATTTTTATACGGAGTATAATATTTCTTACTTTAACCTTTTTTTGCTAGTTTTTGTTATTGAAAGGGATATACGTAGTATTTTTTAATTGTTGGATCAAACAATAATATTGTTTCAATATTTTAACAATAATTGTATTCTGAACACCAAACATGTGGCTGCACCATCAGCTATTGGTGCTTAACATGATTCTCAATTAAGCAACATAAAGAATCACTTACCAAAAAGGCTCGTCCATTCAATATGGTTCCAAAATATATTCGACTTATTTTTGTTTTGTCTTATATTTCCAGAATGAGTTGGTATTTTCTGAGATAGAACTTATGCAAAAGAGGGTAAGTGGCTCGACATTTCCTTGCCATATGCTCCGTATCTAATCAAATCAAATTGAATAATGCTTCATATTATGTATAACTTTGATCAATGCTTTTTGTAGGAGATTGAACTCCAAAATGCCAACATGTATCTTCGAGCAAAGGTCTGTTTCTTTACCTAGCCAGAACAAAAAAATATTCCTTTAAGTAAAGTATGTTCTCACGACTATACTCATTCTATCTCAAAATGTCATTAGATTTCAAATTGACACGAATTGTAAGAAGATCAATTCAATTATTTGAATTCATTATATCTCAAAGTAATTTTAATTATTAATCCTTTAGAGAATCTCTTCTTCCAATTTATTACTCCCAAATACGAAGAAGAGTTTCCTCACCTTCTACTCTCTTTCCCCTCCAACAACATACCTTCAAACCCCTTGTCTTCCCAACAAGCAGACTCCTAAACATACCCTTAAGTCTTAAGGAGTTCAAAGTTAAAAGATTAATATTTTTGTGATAGATAAAAAAGAGAAGTGTACCTCAAATGGGTTCCAAGAGTATTAATTATTAATGCTTTAACATTATGCAGATATCTGAGATTGAGAGAGCACAACAGCAAATGAATGTGATGGCAGTAGATTCCGAGTACCAGCAGCCGCAGCAACCGTACGATGCTCACAACTTTCTTCCCGTCACTCTCCTCGAACCTAATCAACATTACTCTCGCCACGACCAAACTGCTCTTCAGCTCGTGTATGTATAACGTTACTTGCTTGAAAAATCCCACCTTTTATATAAGCTTTGCCATATTGACTGATGAAGCTCTTTTGAAACATACCACACAGGTAACAACACCCCCGGCAATAAACTATCAAGGCACTTCTATGGTGTGTACTGGATGGTTATCTACATTGTCTGTTTTCTTGCTTATAGTTCTGTAAAATCTCCTCTATTCGCATTGAACAATTTATTTTCCCATTCATCGGATTCCATCTAACTAGGTGCGTGTGCTTTCGAACTTCAATTGGTACAGAGCTAATGCTCTCTGCTAGTATATATTCAATGAGGTTGTTTCTTTGTTACAACAAGTATATATGCCTTGATATATTATTCAATCTGTCACAAAAATAAGACCACATTTTCTATTGCAGTTTTTATTAAAAAATATAAGTGATCAACATCGGATACTTTCCCGATTTGATTCTAATATATCCACTCAACAGCTTTAATTTTTGGGTGAGTTAAGCCAACGTATTCCCGGAATTTCAAAACGATTATTTGACCACATTTAAATGACGGTAGGAGAGCTAAATGGTTGATTATAAAAGATTAATAGTTAAAACGGTTTTGAAATTGAATAATTGATATTATTTTGGGACAAACAAAATATCAGGAAAAATTACACAAACTGCAGGACAGGAATGCCTTCCACCAATATGCAGGCTTTATTTAGAACAAAATATGTTTCTTTGGTTGAAGAGGGACCAAAGCTATAATACATGGATGGAATGCTATTTATGGAATACTTCACAATGAGATGTAGCTACAGCAAATAATAAAGAAGTAATACATATCTGCATCTCCACACAATATGTTGTGAAGGTGAGATCCCTATACAGAATGTATCAGTATTGTCTATATGTATTATTATCAACACAGCAATCTGAATAGCATGAGCAGAGACTGATGGCAATACCTTCTTCCCCCTGCCTCAGACCAGAGTGAGGAGAGACACTTAAATCACCTTCGTCTTCACCCCACAATCCCACATTCCTTGACAAACTCATTTGAGAAATTTACATATTGGCTCCACAAGCTTCGTAACTCCGGGGCTGCAATCTCAAGCCACGGCTTTGCTGGTCCACTGAAATGTATTACATTTGCAGCTTCCAAGTCTGATTCATCAACTTGTTGGACCCGATTACCCAATCCAGCAACATGCCATGAAGGATCTATTGGTTGAACATTACCTTCAAATGCTATTAAAGTGGGTGCAAGTGCTCCCGGACGCCATAATTCAAAACCAGAGTTGAGGTTCTGCATATTAAATCATACAAACATAACCAAACTTATAGTCTGATTCCCACACGTACTTTTTGGCTTCCTTTGCATTAGAGTGAGATTTTTCAACACAAATCAACTATTATAAAAGTAGTGCACTAGTCACTTATTTTGGTTGATATGGCAGATCAAAATGAATCTTCTAGCAATAGCTTTGGTCTTTATTTTCTTTACTTATATTTGTATAAAAATACTTTTAGTTAACTCAGCAATTTTAACCAAATCGACCATTTCATCTACAATCTCAGCACTTTTAACCAATTCAACAATTTTAAGCAATGTGACCGCTTAGCTTTGCTCAACCTACTAGGTTAAGGGCCAGTTGAGGTTGAGAGTTTTTGAAGAAGACTTTGGAGTGGTTACTTTATATAGGACTATTGAAATTCATCATATATTAGAAATATAAATACTAAGTATTGTATTAGTAATAATATATATAGTGTAGACTGCTTTTATTTACCATATTCCCCTTCCTAAGCATTACTATTCCTATTTATATTATATGTTTATTATTAATACAATCAGTATAGTTCTTAATTCCATTAAAGAAGTCCTACAATATAACCAATCACTTATTAGATATGTTATACCTTGAATGTATAAAAGCTCAAACATTTTCAAGATTTAGGCTTAGCCATTCAAAACTTTCTTATCCAAAGTCCTGCAACCAAATAAAGCCTTGATATCATGGCCCAGCATACTTACATAATGAAGCCATTGATGATAAGTTGCAATAATGTTAGCCTTCCTCCATGCTTGGAGGTCAAAGATGTTCATTCCATAAAGCCACACACAACTATTCTCGTCTAATTTGGATGATGATACGATTGGGTGAGTAAAATTGAGATAGTCCTTGTATTTTCTTCCGGGGCAACACCCATATCCACAGGACGAGTCAAATACAGCACCAACAACTTTTCCATTGAGATCTACGTCCCATAGAGGAGAAAGGTCATGTTGCACAACAATGTCATCATCCAAAAACACAATCTTGTTCAGATCTGGAAAAAGCTGAAGAAATTGAGTTAATTAATCAATCTTTACTAAATAACACAAAATTATATGTTGTTCTTTAATTCATATTTGACCAATGTGGACAACTCTTCAACTTTGTCAAGAGAATTAAACAAACTAATCAATTTATTTAAAGAATTTCAAGGGTAAAACAAAGCAAACAATGAATAAATTACTAGCATTTTGTTATATGATAACTCTTCCCTTATCCAAACACACGCTAATTAAGTACCTGAGGGATATATATGTGAAGGTGATTCAGAACGGAAAATGGGTCAACTGTTCTTTTTATTCCATCAAACTTGTGACCCCAAACCAGGCGATGGATCTCTAGCATTTGCTTAATCCCAATACTGACGCGGTGAGGAATATCATATTGGTGCAAGCCTTTGACTTCCACAACAGCTGAGCTGATTGGATTCATTGCAAACCATGCATGCATGGCCGTGTAGGTTTTCTTATCAGTCACTACATGAAAGACCATCCTCTCCGGGGACATTGCGCTTTTGATGACAGATGAGATTACAACAGAGGCAGCCAAAACATTGTCTGTGAACAGAACCAGGTGTTGCAAAGAAGCATCAATAAGGTGCGGAAAATATTCAGGTGACGGTAACCGAGATCGTGCCGTAGCATTCATGGAATATTGTGCAGCCAGCTTTAGAGAAAGGCATTGCATCCACTTGGGTACACCATGAGAAGCCATGTGCCAATAAAAAGACTCCTGTTTCTTAATTGATTGAGCAATCTGCTCCATCTTCAATATCTAAATGCAAACAGGTGTAACAGCACATTCAATGTTATTATAGGTTATCTATAAGTCTTTTAGTAAGTCAGTATAGACTACTTTATGATATTAAGATTTAACTTTTAAGGTTCTATATATCTTAAAGGTGTGTGATTGTTTGATATCTTGGAACTTGTGTGCTTTTTTAGCTTTCGCAAAATCGATTGTTCGTTTCCATTCCCTATTAAAATTTGAGATACAATCCCAAAATGTTAATCAAATTAAAAATTATTCAAAAGTTATATGTATTACGACTTAGAGTATGATTAGCAAATCAAAATTGAAGTTTGTGTATTCGCCGTCAAGTCCTAGTTGGATCTGGTGCTCATTTAAGTTGATCAAATAGACTAGGATACTAACTGGTGTTGGCGAAGGCCTTATGTGTTAGTTATATCTTTGTATGTAGTTGGTGTAATAACACTTAACATTTTGTTGGTTTGTATCTTTATACTTGATCTATGTGGATAGATGGCAATAAATTGGTGTTAACTGGACTGTGGTTAAATGGAAGCTGAAGATAATTATTAAACCAAGTGAAGTAACACAATGACAGGATAGCTAGACGGTGATAGTATAATTATTAACTGTGTTTATTTACCGTAGCTTTGGCCTTGATAGCAAAAGTCTTGATGTTTTCTTGTCTATTTGGTGACATCTCTTTAACAAGGTCATTGAATGAGGCTGTCACTGAAGTTGAGCCATCTTCCCCTCTAATTCCTTTCACATAACCATCAATGCTTGTGACCTCCAGTAGTGCTCTAGTCAGCTCCTCTCTGAGCTTTTTTAATCATTAGGGAGAACACACATCATTGACTCAAGGACAAGGCAATCTAATATGGCCTAAAAGTCTATAGCAAGTAAATTATGTTTCTATTGCAAGCAAGAAAGAGTGGTGGCTAAATATATGCATAAATGGTTGAAGTTATGGCTGAAGTCACACCATCGGCTGAATTATGATCTTTCTTGATCTAAACTATGTAGTACATGTTAGTAATTAAATAAATAAAAAGATTAAAATGTTTTTTTTGGCAAATTCAACATTTCTAAGCCAAAAAAACAAAAACAAAAACTTCAAATACTTGCTTTTTTTATTATGTAACTATTCACTACGCATAGTCAAGAAATTAACGCTTGGTGAAAATCTAGTTGATAATTTTATAAGCTAATACTACCTCCGTAACCTAAAAACCTTCTCATTTCAAAAGTAGGTAGATTAAAAATAGTGAAAGAGAATATAAATTATTGAGGGTAGATGGGAAGATAGTGTAATAGTGTGATGGAATGAAGGATAAATTTAAAAATAATAGTTGTAATAGTGTATTATTTTCAAAATTTTGAGAGTGGTGGAAAGATTTAGAAATTGGAAGATTTTTTCGTTAGGAAACCAAAAGAAAAGTGGTAAGATCATTTTGTTAGAGAGGGAGTAAAAGCTAAGGCTATCAAATGGTCACTAAGTTCAACTCTGAATGACATGGACTCTTTTGTCTCATTATGTTCTTTGTCATTCTAATAAAACTGAAATTCAGTACTTTAAAAGACGAATGGTATAAAAAGCTTAATTCTTTTCTGAAAATGACAGTTAGGACTATAGGGAAACCAAGAAGAAATATGAGAAAGTATTTTGAGATAGAAAAAGTAACAACATAAATATGAGAATGCCCAAGGACTTCAAACTTTAGGGTAATTAATAAAAGACATTAAATTGAACTTTAGGAAGACATTGGGTTTAATGCACCAAACCCCCTCCTGATGTGGAAATTCAACGCATTAGCCCATGTGATTTGAAAACTGCGTCAAACCTCCTTGTGTTTTAATTAATTATGCGCAAAATCCCTTCTATGAACAAATTAAATTGTCAAATAAAAGAAAATTGATTAACATTTTTGTAAGATATAGAGATTTTGACATATTTACTTGCATTTTGAATCAGAATATTAGGAAAAGTAATTTCCAAATCGTTAAATTAATTCATAAAAGGGATTCTGTGCACGATTAATTAAAACACAAGGGAGTTTGACACATTTTTCAAATCACAGGGGGCTAATGCGCCGAATTTTCATATCAGGAGGGGGTTTGGTGCATTAACCGGAAGACATTCGTAAATATCTTCAATGCGAAAATGAATGGCACATTATTAGATGATTTTAGATCAATTTTGGGTGTCCTAAGCTACAGCCCATCCTTTCTCAAAATCTCCCTAATGGACTTTTATCTTTAAGGATAAAGTTAATCGAGTTGAAATGTATAGTGAGACATCATGAGATCAACAAGTGGATATGCATTATTGACCAACAAGGCCACTAAGTAAGCACTCATAATGAAGCCAAATCAAATTATTGATCAAAATGGCCTACTCTTGTATATACTAGCATCGGATTATTGAAGTGCTGCAACTCTACCAAGTCTTGACAAATTTTCTTGAATACAACTAAAGAACTTACGGAGACATAAAAAAGGCTTCCAAATGGAATTGGGAGTGACGAAAACTTTAATTTGATTCTACATTGTGCTAAACTCGAAGGTTGAAATGCACAATAAAAAGTCTGATCCATTATTTTAATGAGTCATTTAAATGTATTAACTTTGTTTGAAAATCCATTATTGCAATAAATGACTACATACATCAAGAAAGGGGGAAAAAATCACTCATTTACACCCCAATCCCATCATTTCATTTTTCCAGTGGGGTGGGGTTGGTGATTTTCACCTTCCGCAACAACCAAAGTTCAAGTCCTATTGAAGTTGACATTTCCGAAGTCTAGCAGAGATTTGCAAAGTTTGGGTTTAATGGTTTATTGTGATTGTCTTACTTCAAGTTTCATTGTACAAAGATTGATTTAATTACATTCATTGTAAAAATGTAACGAGGATCTCATTAATTATTTACGACGGATGGTCGGTCGTATTCGATAGTCGAGCATCATAATGTCTGACAACTACACAAAGAGGGTTGTGCTGATGGGTCACTACATATCCTCAAAAAACGTGTATGGGTCACTACACATCCTCAAAAACGCCTACTTTCAGAAGTTACACACTTACACACACTATACCTATCGGCAAGCATCTAAAATCTTTTTCTTCTTGCCTTCCTCCAAAAAAGGATAACACCCCATTCCTGTCCCCAACATCGATTGGATGGCACGATAAGAGAATATAAATTAGACTACAATCACAATCTGACAGATAGAGAGTGAGACTCTGTCTCCGGTATTTGCAGAGACCCTATGCATTTTTCAGCATAGTAACCCCTATCGCAGTTGCCGGGATTCGAACCCGAGACCTAACCCTTGTGACACTCCCTCGCTACCAGTTGAACTACGCCCACACGTTTCTTGCCTTCCTCCAAGTAATAATCAGAGCTGGTTGCGCTCAAAGACCATACGGTTTTTCATTAAAGACGTTTGGGATCGGTCTGATTTTATTTTAGAGTTATTTTGGTATCATACCCAAATGTGGTCCAGTTTTTAGAGCCTCTTTGGTAGCTTAAGTAACCGTTTCATTCGGAATTTCACTAGTTTAGTCAATTTTAGTATATTACCTAAATTAATTCTACTTCATTTACTTTGATCATTACACAACTTAACGCGAGAAATTAAAAATTACGGAGTACAAGTTTGGTTAAAATGAAGTATGGCTGATAAGTCCAAAATATGGATAACTAAATGTCTAAATGGACCCTGAGAGCTCATTTGGTAACACTGTTTTTCGTCTTATCAGACTTACCGGCCAATTTTTTCACCAAACACGTAACTTTTGTTTTCGCGCGTTGAATTGTGTAATAATAAGAAAAAGTATGGTTGAAGTTACTTTTCTGGCTATATTGGCTGAACTACTGTATGTGATCATTTTAGCTATTTTTACATATAATTTTTTCTGTACTTTCTTAATAAAATATATTTTTAAAATAATTTTGTCTTAAATGTGCTCTAAATTTCCTGATGATGAACTTCATAAATTTCCGCAAAATCAATCAATTTTCATGTTACCAAACAGACTCTAAATTGACCAGAGATGATGAAGATGACTTTTCTACTTTTTGTATTTTATAGATAAAATAATTTTAACGAAAATTTATTATGGAATAAACAAACACAAAAAGAATCAAGTGCCACGAGCATACAATACATACAAAAGAATGCAGCATGTGAATGTAGACTATTTGAGGGGAGACCATGTGTGCTCTTGCCAGGTGATGATGCCATTACTTCCAGTTTCACGTGGTGGTTTTAGTCGAACATACGTCGTCTAATTACCACTTGTTTGTACTCGACCCAAATTAATTTTACTATTTATCCTTGACACCTTTATCAAAGTAAAACCTTGCGCTTTCACTTAAAGGAAGACAAAAAAAACATTAAAAAAAAACATAAGCTTTTGAAATAAATCATTTTAATGTGTCATATTCATGCCATCGTGTAAGACAAATCAACCAAACCAAATACTAATGGTGTCATATTCATAGTTTTCTGTCCTTGAAGTTGACGTACGATTTTGGTATCATACCCAAATGTGGTCCAGTTTTCATTATTATTTTTTTTTTAATTTTAGAGCACTTTTGAAAATCGGAGTTACTTTTAACGGTATTTTTAGACGCTTCTAATGGTGTGACCCTCTTGTGATAATGGAATTCAAACACATGAACCACTTTGATAAAGAATGAAACGCACGACCGAAAATGGACCCAATCACAAGTACATTTTCCGTACTTTTCCAAAAAAAATAATAAGGAAAATGCTAGGGGTACACAAGATGTACACAACTTGTACACACAATGTCGGTCACAGACAATTGGTACGGAGTTGTCTGTGACCACAGACAAGAGTTGTCTGTGTACACAGACAAATTTTGTCTGTTTCCACATACATTTACTTTTTGTAAAAAGTACATTGAGAGTCACCTGACACTGACAAGTACTTTTTACAAAAAAGTAAATGTCTGTGGAAACAGACAAAATTTATCTGTGTACACAGACAACTCTTGTCTGTGGTCACAGGCAACTCCGTACCAATTGTCTGTGACCGACATTGTGTGTACAAGTTGTGTACAACTTGTGTACCCTAGCATTTTCCAAATAATAATTGCTCATGGACGTTAGAAAAGTGTACAAAGTGTGCACAAATTTTTTACTTTTTATTTTATTTACACTCCATATATACAAACGGTTGAACAAAGTGTGGAGTAAAATTTACACACTCCACAACAATTTTTGTGTACACTTATTTTGTATACGTAGTACATTAGTACACGTCATCTATGTACATACAACTTTCAAAGTTTTACACTTGCTTTAGACTAATTGTCTCTATATATAGCAAAACAGGTTAAATAGGTAGATTGCAAAAAAAAGAATCAGTACGGAGTATTATGTAATCTTGACAATCTACTCCTGAAACTTTTTTCTACAACAATAATGTTTGATGTACCGTGTACCCACTCTTATACCCATCTTATACCCACCATGTTTGTGGAGATTTTTTTTGTCTGTGAATCCGGTTCATGGACAATATTTTGTTTGTACAAAATATTGTTTGTGAGCCGGGGTTCACAGACAAAAAAAAAATACTTCACAAACATAAGTGGGTACAAAAGTGAGTATAAGAGTGGGTAAAAGATTATTTTTGAAGTTTTTTTGCGTTTGGTTAATCGGTATTTTAATGAATTTTACGTATCATACCACGTGGAACACATGGCCTATGATGCAAACACATTCTATTTTAAGGTAGAATGGTGAGGGTAATGAATAGTGTAGAAAAAGTAGAAGAGAAGGTGAAAAAGTAGAGAAAAGATGATAAAAAATAAAAAAGGTAAGATTAATTGAGTATTTTTAAAGGAAAAACTTACTCTTTGGAATAATATAGGGAACTTTTAAATACATCCCAATAAAAGTACAGGGAACTTTTAAGGGAAAAGGTGCAAATAGGCCCATGTACTAAATAAAAAAGGTCAAATAAGCCCTTATTTAGGAGGCTCTGTTCGTCCGTCGTCATTTGGGGTGGTTCCCGATTGAATTTTTTGATGAATTTTTTGAGTATCTTATTCATTAAGTTTAGTTTACTCATACCAAATTTCAGCTAAAACTTCAATCGGGAAGGCATTCAAATGAATTGTTGAAAATAAATGCGCAGTTAGAAGCACAGTTATCTTCAAGAATTCATTTGAATGTCTTCCCGATTGAAGTTTTAGCTGAAATTTGGTATGAGTAAACTAGACTTGATGAATAAGATGCTCAAAAAAATTCATCAAAAAATTCAACCGGGAACCACCCCAAATGACGACGGCCGGACAGAATCTCCTAAATAAAGGCTTATTTGACCTTTTTTGTTAGTACATGGGCCTATTTGCACCTTTTCCCTTTACTTTTAAATAAAGAGAGAGGAAGTTTTAATTTGTTTTCGAGGCTGCATTGGTTATATTAGACAACTTTGGCTATGTTATTATATAATTTATTTACATTATTCATAAAGTATATTTTAAATACAAGTACGGAGTATAAGTTTTTAATAATCCATTACAATTTTTAAATATAAGGAATTTAGAGCCCGTTTGGAGAACTCTGTTTTCGGCTTATCAGGCTTATCAGCCAGCTTTTTCACCAAACACGTAACTTTTACTTTCGCGCGCTGAATTGTGTAATAAGCCGAAAAAGTAAGGTTGGAGTTACTTTTCTGGCTGTATTGGCTGAAGTTACTGTAGTGGACCATTTTAGCTATTTTTACATATAATTTTTTCTTAAATTTATTAATAAAATATATTTTTAAAATATTTTTTTCTTAAATCAGCAGAATCAGCCAAAACAGCCACTCCAGCCAGAATATCATAAATTTCAGCAGAATCAGCCAAAACAGCCGATTTTGGTGCTACCAAACGGGCTCTTAATAGTAGCAAACATATCTCATGATAGAAAGATCTCGAAAAGCACATTTTACTTCAGAGCATTTAACAAGCTAATAGAATTTAGAAATATAAATAGAGAGTTTTTTTAGATATAAACATAAATATCACATTTCTTAAATAGAATCATCAATGTTTTCTTGTCATGATTGGATTTATTCATTCTTTCAAGATGAAAATTTTATTATTAAATAATTCATGTTTAGAAAATTGAAGTATTTTTTTTTTATGTAAAATTAAAGTATGTTTTAATCTTACTTGAAACAATTTCTTACATTAGAGTAGAAATTAATGAATTCGCTTATAAAAAATCACATCATATGCTACTCTGTGCCATATGATATTTAATGACAACAGTGCATGATTATGACATAAAGTTGATGAAAAAGGCTTATTATTTGTTTGCATTTTATACCATGAGTTTTAAAATAGTAAAACCAATTAAGACCAAATAAGCAGTATCAAAATTTTACTCCGTTATTATAAGACCAAAAACGTTATGAAAACAAAAGGTACAAAAATGTACCGTATGACAAATAATGTGCATATCTAATTATCTACGGAGTACTATCGTATTGTACAAGGTATCTAGTTTCAAAGCTCGGGGTGTAAAAACTATGGAGTAGTTTCAAAAGAGAATCACGCCGACAAGTGAATAAAAAATCAGTAATATCATCTTAAAAAAATAATCAGTACTATCATTCTGAAATACTACCACCTCCGTTCTTTAATAAATGCAACATATGAAAATTTACACTATTCACATGTTCTACTTTGACTACATTTTATTTATTATTGTATTAATATTTGTTTATGAATATAATATTGTTAAATTTGTCTCATTGTAAATTTTCAAAATCTAATTTTTTTTATTTTTTTACTAATACAAAATTATACGAAGTATATATTAATGGTCAAAGTTGTGTCTCGAAAAGTGTGAAATGTTGACCGTTGTATTTATTTAAGAACGGATGAAGTAAGTAGCATTAATAATTAATTACTACTCCGTACGTATTATGTAATAATATTAAGAAAAACGATAATATTACCAGAGCCGAATCACTCCCACCGGACAATGTCCATCCAAGACATCCTGCAGAATTATTCAGGAAAATGTTTTCAGGAATAATTTTTCTAGAGGAACTAACACTGTAACTGCTCTAATTTGAAAATACTCAATAAAATATGCAACTATCATCTCTATTTGTTTGTTATTGTTACTAATGCTAGCAAACTAATTGAGCAAGAGTAATCCTTCTTTGATTTATTTTCTAGAACTCTTATATTAATCTTCTCAAATTATATAAGTGGACAACCTTCAATAAGGTAGGTCTAAGAATTGTAATTCTTAGACTCTTTAATTTGAGATGCTTCCGAGTAGAATTTTTTTATAAAATTTTGTGAACATGTTCTCCACTAAGTTTCACAACAAAATTCATTCGGAAAGTCACTTAAATAAATTATTGAAAAAACTGCATTTTATATATATATAAAACCGGCCTGCGCAATTTTGAAAAAAATATTTAACCGGTTTTTCAATCGAATTTTAATCTGAAATTTGGTAGGCATAATTTACATTTCACGAAAAACATGCTCGCAAAATTTCATCAAAAAATTTGCCCCGGAAGAACCTCACATTTAAAAATACTACTCCTTAATTTAAAGAGTACTCCGACACTCCGTATTATAGAGTGCCCAATTTATCTTCTCAATTTCTGTAAAAAAAAATTGTAAATGTGAAATGTGACGGCGAGGGTAGTAAATAAATGAAAGTATGAAGCTTTGAAAATTGAAATTGATAATAAAAAGGGGGAAAAAGAAAGTTACCAAGAGATGTGCAAATAATAGTGGATTCGTGGACGAGTAAAGCGATTCTGAGTAAGAACAGGAAGAATAGTAAACCAAGCGTTAAAACTGCCGAAAACGTCACCGTTCTGTTATGTATCCGCCGACTGATAAGCGGCGATCCTTTCCCCTTCATCCCGTCGGCAACAACTTCTCCGTCTCCTATCAGAACTCGAAATCGAGATAACTTTCTTAATCCTCGTCGCCGATGTGTAAACCTTCATTATCTCTTAGAAATTCGTCTACTTTTCTCTCCATCCGAGCGACTCTCATCAGATTTCACCTCCACCTTCAGATCCCCAGTTCAGTATATACAGTTTATACACAAATTCAGATCAAAATTTAAAACATTTCAGTTGGAAACTAGCTCCTGAATTGCAGGATTTGCAGCTCTAGCTCTGTAGAATCGAATCGAGAAGTTTAATCACGAGATCGACTTTTCGGTATGTAGCGAAGCATTTGTAGAGAAAGCAATCGCGGAAAGAGTGAATTTGATCACGCACTTTGAGTTCCGGAATTTTCGTAATAAACGAACAACATTGTATCTCTCTTGTTCTTCTCTCCCTGTATTTCTTATATTCTTTAACCCCTGAGTTTGTGTGTAGGAAGGAACTCTGGATTGTTTATTTTTTTTATTTTTTTTTTGGTCGCCTGATTGTTTATTTTTTTATTTAGCCGAAATCAGCAACTTATGCCGCGTTAAATGCCGCTGGATCCTCTTTAACCGAGCACGTTCTTTTTCGTCTGGTTAGATCCTCTTTAAAACTTTTTACTCTAATTTGACAAGTATTGACGGGTAATTATTAAAAGTGGTTATTAACATTAGAGAAGATTTCCTCAAAAAAAAGAAAACATTAGAGAAGACTTGTTTGGCTAGTGATAGGTTTAATACGAGAGCTAACGTACGAGAGCAGATAAAATTTAGGCAACGTAAGACAGTATTATTATTCTAGAATTCGGATCCTTGGTATGATGTGAACAGGAAGTATTGATAGACCTTAGGTTCTAGTATTATTGGAGGAAAGTGATACATTTAATGCAATTAATTAGAATAGAGTCATGTAACGTCTCGAACGTTGTGTAATGATTGTTTTCCTCAGGTCCACATTCCTTCTGTTATTTTCTGCCACTGTCAGATAGCTATGCTCAAATGATAGCCTGCCACATAAGCCCTAGGAAGAGTCCGACCTTTCTAGAACTCCGCTCAGCCTCGAGATCTGCTGTCCAGCCTGACCTAGTTGTGGGTTCCTTTCGCGGGTCGGATTCCTTAATTAGGCCCAACGGCTATTATTATAAATCCCGATGAATGGGTTGATCTCGTTGATCGGCTTCCTTTAATTCAGTCTTGGGCCATGGTTGTGATCCATGGGACAATCACGAACCCCCCTACTCTCAAAAATCAGTCGGGCTATATTTTAGGAAAGTAGTCAGATTTCGAATTTTGAATTTCCATTTGTGGCGCCGCTTCGAGTGCCTTGGAAGTGGTTCCAAAGCGGTTTAAGAGACATTGGGGTTCCCACTATAAATGATACACTATCTTCTTCACGCAAACCTTCTGATAGTCCGCGTCCTTCAAACCCTAGGTGAGAAAGCTCCTTTCATCGTTCCGACTTCCCTTCCCATGTCACTTCATCCATGTCCTCCTCCAGTTCGGTTCCCCTCCATAACGTCTTCCTGACGATGGGGCTAGCTCCAACTGGCCTAAAATCCCGGTGGACTCTGGGAACAGAAACCCATATTTTATCTCTTCGCAGATTTTGCTCGTGCGGTTTCGGCCGTCACCATCTCCAACGCTGAATTTAGTGAAGCGGTGGCCCTCGTCGAGCCCAACGTTGTCTGTTCTCGCCCAACTCTGGGGCATAACATTGTAGCGCTCCCTTCTCCCCTTCACTTTGGGGCCCACTAATAAGTTTGTATTTCAACACACATTTGATGCGTGTTGGGATCAGATTTTGATGGTTTTCCTAGCTTTAAGGTGTTACAAGTCTCAATTTTAGTTCAAGTTATGTTTACCGAGCGTTGGTTCCAGTTTTGTGTTTTTGAAGTCAAAATCAGAGAATTTGAGCTCGCCACCGGCGCTTGAGAAGCAATCGGGACGAGTCAAGATGCATTTGAGAGAGAATTGAGAGCTTTGGTAGTCACCGGGAGGTTCACGACGAAGATTTGATGATAAAAGAGCTATAGGATTGGCTACGGGATGAAAAGAAGACGAATAGAGCTTGAAAACGGCGTTCAGGATGACCTTCTGTCAATCGTTCACGCATATCTTTTTGTAGAAACGTCCAATGTACACGATTGAAGTTCCATATGAAATCCAACTTCAATGGCTACATATCATATGAAGACACTATTGTGAGAATCTGAGAGGAGCAAGGTGAAAACAGACGAGAAAACCAGATAACTGTTGTTGAGATTTCAGGATGCGGCCTTCCACCATGTTATTCATATCTTTTGATTGCATGATTCAAATCCATCTTTGTAAGTTTTGGTGGATAGAAGACTTCATTAGCTACAACCTTCATGAAGGAAGCATTATCAAATTCAGAAGTGAAGGTGTCACGCCGTGCGCTCGAAGTCAGGCACTCCATGCCTGCTTCAGGAAACAACGCTGGAGCTACTGTCAGTCAAGCACGGTCGTGCCTGCCATGGAGGCACGCCGTGCCTGACCCCGAGACGCGACTCTTCCGCAAGCACTAGGGCCAGGCACGCCGAGCCTAGGGTCGTGCCTTCCCCGGTAAGTCCTAATTTGACCTAAATTTCCCCGTTTTCTATACATAAGGCCTCTAAAACCCTATTTTGAGGTTGCAGAGCTTAGAGAGAGTGCCTAGCACCACATTTAGAGATCTTTTCAGCCTTGTTCATCAATATTTTGGGATTCTTTGTAAGTTCCATCTTTTTAATTAATGACAAATAATTCTTTTCATCCCAATTCTGTTGTTGATTCAATTATGAATTGTGAGTAGTTTAAATTAGGGATTTGGGATTGATAAAGGGGTTGGTCATGATGTATGGCTAAATTCATGATGGATTAATTGCATGAATGTTATTTAATTTGTGTTTGAATGATTTAATCGATATCTCTTGTAACCTAGAACAGCCGTTAGGATTATAATTGCACATAGAATAAATTAAGAGAGATATAATTTATTATATGACACCTTCACACATACTTAATCGTTCGCTAAGAGATTAGTAACGATTAAGGGGTTGTACGCTTGCTCGTTTACACAAAAATTTTAGATACATGTCGCATGAGAGATCGGTCTGGTTCCCTAAATTATTGTACTCTACGCCGCGAGAGTGGTTAGAACTTAGTATTGATTAACGTTGCTCAATTAAATAATTTTCATGTGATTAAGCCTGATCAGCCAGAAATCTGGTTACCCCGGAATCAATCCTTGTTCCCTATCGTTATTAATTAGAAAGTCCCCTTTGATGAAAACGGTTAGCAACAAAAGAGGGGGGGTGAATTGTGTGTGTGGAACCGTGGCAGTTTTTCGCCCAGTTCTAGTGCGGGGTGAAGGGTATTGCGAAATAGTAAAGTGCACAAGGATTTAACGAGGAAAAATTCCTTGGCTCAAAGGGATTAAAAAACCTCGACCTCCCTCGGAGGAATTTTAACAACTTCACTAAAAAGCCTTTGAATGATTACAAGGGAAACTCTCCTAGTCTACCCTTGAGCCACCCCAACTCTATCCTCTCTAGGAAGAGTTACGCTTCTCTACCTTGCGGGTAGAGAGCCTCTCAGCTTTACAACAAAGCTCTCACAACACACGTTACCCAACCCGAGGAAGCTACACTTAGCTAATCCTCAATAACCCAATTACAATATAGGAAGAGAATAAGAACTCTGTTTAGAACTCCGGAAGCAGTTTCAGGTGCCTTGAACTTTGTATTTCTCTCGAGTATCTCTCTTGATATTTTCTCGGTCAAGCACACCCTGCTTCTTCTTCTTGATCTCGATTATATAGTCTACTAGGAATGGATCCGTTGAGACACTTCTTTCCTTGAATGGTTGAGGAACTTGTCTTGAAATTATTCAAAATGCTTTCCTTTTATTTAAGGATCTTCTAGCTCTTAATTATGATGGTCCTTGGTCAACCATATATATGGGAGCAGGAGGATACGTGCATACCATGAGCAAGTCAAAAAGGTATAGAGCATATTATGTGATCAACCATTTAGTAATAATTCCACAAAGATATATATCAATACATATCAAGGGAAGTTATTTATTCACTTAAACTATGCAAGCATGCAACGGATCATATTTCAAATAATATGTAGGAGAATATTTGTTAAATAGGTATGCACAATCAACTAGCTAATCAATTAAGGATTCTTTCCATAAAATAATAAGCTATAATAATAAATCATGCATGAAAATATATTTTTGCTTAAAATAATATTCTTGACAAAGTATAAGCACTCATATAAGGAAAGCACATATTAATTAAATCATACACCATGTAAATCAACCGTTCACACAGAATACAATTAAGAATAATTTTGTCTTCCGTTCCGTATGGAACTGAGAGCGGTTCCGTCCGCTGTTCCACCTGCATAGTTAGTCATTAATAAAATTACATACTCAACAGATTCTTTCCTTTGAGATCGGTCTTCTTAGATGGGCAAGATCAGGACTTGATGTACTATCTTTAATAGCTCGGATCTCCATATATATTTCGGTCCTCTTGCATGGAAATCATTCAAAAATATTTCCTTATAGGTATTAAAAGATATTCTTTTTATTTGATTGAAGGAAATCATTTTTCTTAAGGAAACATTCCTTGTGAGAAGATATGCACGAAAATCCTTTTTGAATTTTGAATAACAACAATTATTTTGGAAACTTGCTTTGTAGAAATATCTCTTAATTAATGCCTTTGATTTAAATAACTTTCCTTTAAAGAAAAAATCCTTTCTTTGTATGATCATTGATTATTTTCTTGCTTAAAAGGTTCTCTTTAATTTAGCAAGATAGATCCGAAATTAAATGGAGAGAAAAGATATTTTAAGCAAGCCGGATTAATCAATCTTGGATTTACGGTGAAGTTCTCGGACCAGTTCTACGGCTTGTTCCAGAGCACGACTTAAACTCTTTTCATGTAGTCATTTACAACCAAAAGTAACACTAGTCGTTTGTCATCAACAAAACAATACGTTCCACTAGTCGTTTGTCATCAACAAAACAATACGTTCCAACAAATTCCCCCTTTTTGTTGATGACAAACACTTGGTGCCCTAAAGTTAGTTTCATAATGAATAAGCCCAATGTATCGAGCATAGAACACATAGGGCACATATTCTTCCCCCTTTTGTCACCAACAAAACAATAAATAGCTTGAAAGATAAAAGATAAAAGATAAATTTAGGAAAGATAGTTCATGCCTTGATGAACCCAAGTTCCATCCATATTTGTTCATGTTCATCAAGCTTGTTCTTGAATACCCATTTGAGACCTATCTTGGTCTTGTTCTTGGGTCTCGGTTCTAGATGCCACACTTTATTTCTCTCGAACTGATTTAGTTCTTCCTGCATTGCTAGAACCAGTCAGTTTCGGAGAGAGCCACTTCATGGTTCTCCGGTTCTATAAGTGATAGATAAGCAAAGAAGGAATAAAAATTTCTAAGTTTAGATCTAGTAGTTACTCCCTGATTTAGGTTAATCAAGAGGTTATCC